ATCCCTTGACAAGACTGACACCAGAAAAAAATAATTTTTCTAATTTGATATGTTTAAACCTTGATGTGTTTAAGTTAACTGTAACTTCAACTCCCAAGAGCTTTCAAGTACCTGAATTTAAATATTCTCAGTTTCAAATAACCTCATCAGGGTTAATCCAAACACTTCTGGTCTGGAGGTAGCAAGAACTGCAGATGCTGGAGTCAGAGACAACGCAGCATGGAGCTGGAGGAACACAGCAGGTTCAGGCAGAAAAGTTGACGTTTCAGGTCGGGTCCTGTCCCAAAATGTCGACTTTCCTTCTCCTCTGATGCTGCCTGATCTGCTGTGTTCTTCCAGCTCCACACTTCTGCTCTGGAACTATTCTTGAACTCCTTACTCTAAGGTAATCAATTGTTCTATCTACTTCCTTTCTCGGGAGCACTATTATATACATGCATCATGATCCAAGGATTTCTGTAGGACTTCCCAAACTGAAAACCAAAACCAGTTTCATTTTCCCCACAGGCTGTGGGTGTTTCCTTTATGTTTAAAAGACACCCAGAAAGTTTCTTTTTTAACAGAAACCTTGATGCACAGTTCTTTGTTTTGTTTGATTGTATACTCACCTAAGCTGCACACAGAGAGAAAAAAAAGATTAATTCTGAAAATTAACTCACTCAAGCTGTTTTAAAAGAAATCACCATGGCTACAGAAATACATGCAAGTTAATCATTAAACTCTTCAGACAGAAAAGTAAATATACTTTTCATTGTAATAATCCAAAATTATTTATACATTCATTATATTTTTGAGTCACACTGACTAGATCATAACTGGAAAAGCAAATCACTGAACCTCAGTTGTAGGGAAATTGCAGAGAAAATAATTCAAATGTTTGGTCGCTTAGAAAATAATAGTTTAATAGATGACAAACAGCACATAACTGTCATAGAAACTGTACAACACAGAAACAGACCCTTCAGTCCAACTTGACCATGCAGACCAGATATCCTAAATTAATCTAGTCCCATTTGCCAGCATTTGACCCATATCTCTCTAAACCCTTCCTACTCATGTACCCATCCAGATGACTTTTAAATGTTGTAATTGTCCCAGCCTCCACCACTTTCTCTGGCAGCTCATTTCATACATGCAACACCCTCTGTGTGAAAAAGTTGCCCCTTAGGTCCCTTTTCAATCTTGCCCCTCTCACCATAAACCTATGCCCCCCTACCCTGGGAAAAGGACCTTGCCTACTCACCCTATCTATGCCCCTCATGATTTTACGAACCTCTACAAGTCTCCAACGTCCAGGGAAAGTATCCCCAGTCTATTCAGCCTCTCACTATAGCTCAAACTCTTCAATCCCCAGCAACATTTTTCTAATCTTTTTCTGAACCTTTTCAAGTTTAACAACATTTTTCCTATAGCAGGGAGACCAGAATTAAATGCGGTATTCTGAAAGTGGCCTCACCAATGTCTTGTACAGTTACAATATGACATTCCACTTTCTATACTTAATGCACTGACCAATAAAGGCAAGTTACCAAACACCTTCTTCACCACCCTGTCTACCTGCGACTCCACTTTCAAGGAACTACGAACCTGCACTCCAAGGTCTCTTTGTTCAACAACACACCCCTGGACCTTACCGTTAACTGTACAGGTCCTACCCTGATGTGCCTTTCCCAAAATGCAGCACCTCACATTTAACTAAATTAAACTCCATCTGTCACTGTGGCACTTATATTGTAACTAAACTGAGTTTTTACATAAGATGTTAGTGAGGATTGATCAAATGTCAGAGGTGTGGCATTTAGTGAAATGTGCTTGCAAAGGTTTACAATTGATGAATGACCACTTACTTCTCTCTTGTAGCATTTGCAGTTAAGTGCAGGTCATGATGCACAAATGGACTTTTTCAAAGGCGATTGTTATATTAGGACATAAAATGATGCAGTATCGTGTTCAACTGCAGTGAGATTGAAGTTGAATCCTCAGAGTATTATCTCTTCGATCAAGGTCATCTCAAGTCTTTACAAAGATGCTTACAACATGGTAACAGGCCATTCTGCTCAGCTGGTGCTTTTGCTCCACACAAATCATAGCATCTTTATAGTGTGGAAGTAGGCCATTCAGCCCATCGAGTCCACTCTGACTCTCCGAACAGCATCCCACCCAGACCCAACCTTATCGATGTATCCTGCATTTCCCATGACAATCCACCTAGCCTGCACATCCCTGGACAATGTAGCACGGCCAATCCACCTAACCTGCACATCTTTGGACCATGGGAGGAAACCAGAGTACACAATGGAAACCCATACAGACACGGGGAGAACGTGCAAACTCCACACAGACAGTTGTCCGAGGCTGGAATCAAACCTGGGTCCCTGGCACTATGACGCAGCAGTAGTAACCACTGAGCCACCATGTCACACCCATATCCCAATCGTTTCACCTCTCTGACCAACTTGGTCTCCATCCTTTTCTTATGCACTCAGCTAGGTCAGTCCTCATGTTATCAGTGATATGTACTGCCATTGTTCTACATGGGTAGGCTAGAATTCTGCATTTCCACCAATCTCCCAGAAAAGATATGCCTCTTGAAATCTTTGCTCAATTTTCTGATGGTTATCTTGCATTTGTAGCCTTTCATTTCAGTTTGACAAAGTGCAGACATTCAGTTCTTGACTGCCTTATCAAACCACTTCATAAGTGTAGAATATCTGTATTCAGTAACCCTGCAGCTATCTCACCTGTGAGGAAACAGGGACAAACATGATTCAGTTATCCCAATAGCTGATATCTTTTAAGTTCTCAATTGTGTCAAACCAGACTAGAGTTCTTGGAGACCAGCACTCAGAACAGGATTATGCTTCAAACAATTATTCATACAAGTCTAAACTACTCTCTCTTCACAATCTATCCTCTAGTTCCTCTCAGCCCCAGGACATCTCTGCAGGAGTTCCTCAGGGTAGTGTCCTAGGCACAACACACCCACATTCCAAGAGTGATTTTTTTCTTTTGAAAAGTTAGAACCAGTAGTGCAATGCATCACCCCTGGTTATTACATAGTAGAGAGAGGTAGATAGAGAGAGAAGCGGATACAGAGAAAGAGTTAGTGGGAGAGATAGAGATGTAGAGAGAGAGAATTGGAGACAGTGTGACAACATTGACAAGGAACACTGTTACAGACACCATGGCTGAAGGACTCAGCCCTGACTCTCCCTCCATAAAGTTCTTGATGCTGGTTATATACATTAGATACACAGTGGGAGATGCATAGTCACTGGACTAGTGATCCAGAGGAGATCCAGGCTGTTATTCTGGGGATACAGGTTCAAATCCTGTCACAGCAGATGGTGAAATCCAAATCAATGAAAACTTGCAATGAAATACCAGCCTTTTAAAAGGGGCATTGGACGTCAATACAGTGTGGAGCTGGAGGAACACAGCAGGTCATGCACCACCCTTCACCAGGTCCTGATGAAGGGTCCCGACCTGAAACATCGACTCTCCTGCTCCTCTGATGCTGCCCGGCCTGCTGCGTTCCTCCAGCTCCACACTGTATTGGCTCTGACTCCAGCATCTGCAGCTCTTGCTTTCTGCGGACATTGGATGTTTTATTTTCAGATAGAAATGGTGTTTAGGGGCATGGGGAAAAGGCAGGAGATTGGAGTTAGGTAAGCAAGCTGGTGCAGACACAGTGGCCTGAATGCAGTGTGACCATTCTGAGGTTCAGCAGTAGTGAAAGCAGTCAATTGTCATTAACATCTGCCTCACCACTCTCCCTGGTCTGCCGTACTTACACGGTCTGGCCAATATGTGACTCCAGACTCAAGGCAATGTGGTTAACTCTTACGGCTCTCTCACAAGCCACTCAAATCAAGGGCCAATAAGGGGTAAGCAATAAATGCTGACCCAGTCAGCGATGGCCACATCCCAAGAACGACTAAGAGAGAGAAAGAAAGAGAAAAATTTATTTCTAAATAAATGCAAGAGGCAAAGGGCAAGAGAGGTTTATGCTGATTGATCATTTCACCCACAAGGAACAAGGTCTTTGATAGGGTGGTGGTCAGATCAGCGAAACTGACAAATGCTTTGGTAATACACTCACATAATTAAAAACGAAAGGAAAATGACTTCAGGGGATCAGTGAATGGCAGTACCATCAGCACACGCCACACAAAACAGAGGAAAATTATTTAAAATAATTAATTAAACAATTACATAGAAGGATAAAGGAAGTGGAGGCAGAGATTTTGCATACCCTCAATGTTAATCTCAGAAGTTTTCATTTCATTTCAACAGTGCAGCAGGCCAGGGAGAGGGAAGGGTGAGCACGGTGACTCAGTGGTGCCTCACAGCGCCAGGGACCCAGGGTCAATTCTGCCCCCGGGTGACTGTGTCTGGGTGGAGTTTGCACATTCTCCCCGTGTCTGTGTGGGTTTGAACTGGTTTCCTCCCACAAGTGCCAAGACATACAGGTTAGGTGGGTCAACCATGGGAAATGTGGGGTTATAGGGGTAGGGGGCATGGATCTGGATGGGATGCTCTTTGGAGAGTCATTGTGGACCTGATGGGCTGAATAGCCTGTACCCACACCCTAGGGTGCCTGGAATTCTAAGTCAGTGTAATAGGAAGAGAAGTTATAACATTAGGTGACTGGAATTGCACAACCATGCTTGCAGACAGGCCAGTGTGTGTACAGCAATGCCCCAGTCTGCACTCAGGCTCCATCAAATGCAGCATACAGCAATATTGGTGGTATATGCAAGCTAATCAATTGTAAGAAGACCAGGCAAATATTTGTTTGAAGTGAAAGGGATGCTGGGGCTCTGGATGTCTTACATGGAGCAGAAATGGCTTTAGCAGACCAGTCAGGGATAAAAAGACAGCCTCTCTCCTGTGGAATGCTCTCCATTCACATGAGCTTCTTGTCTGTTCCAACAGTGAATTTGATAGCAGTTGTGATCCTGTGTCGGGGAAAGTGCGGCCTCTCTGGATGTGTCAGCCGCTATCTGGTGGCCATGGCAGTGACGGATCTGCTCTTGGTCATCACGGCCGTGATACTGAACCGCATCAGCCGCATCTATTTCCCGCTCAGCCTCCTCTCCAGCACACCAGGTTGCAGCCTCAGTACTGTGCTCATCTACATGACCAGAGACAGCTCTGTCTGGCTGACGGTGGCTTTCACGTTTGATCGCTTCATCGCCATCTGTCTCCAGAAGCTGAAAGGCAAACACTGCACTGAGAGGACAGCAGCAGTGGTCATTGGGACAGTAAACATGCTGTGCTGTCTGAAAAACATCCCGTATTATTTCACATACGAGCCACTCTATGTAATTAACGACAAGCCTTGGTTTTGCAGCATCAAAGCCACTTTCTATTCCTCCCCTGTCTGGAAGACATTTGACTGGCTCGATCGCATCTTAACTCCGTGTGCCCCCTTCTTTCTGATCCTCCTGCTCAATGCTTTGACTATCAGGCACATTCTAGCCGCCAACCGTGCACGCAGGAGGCTCCGAGCTCCAGGTCTCCAGGACGGACGGACTGATCCGGAGGTGGACAACCGGAGGAGGTCCATTGTCCTGCTCTTTGCCATCTCGGGCACCTTCATCCTGCTCTGGATGACCTACGTTGTCAATTTCTTCTACGTCCAATTCTGCAAGGGATCTTACTTCGCTGGCTTCAACTTCAGCGACCTGAGGTTTATCCTCCAGGAGAGTGCAAACATGCTGCAGCTGTTCAGCTGCTGCACCAACAGTTGCATTTATGCAATCACTCAGAGCAGGTTCCGACAGGAACTGAAGGACGGTCTGAGATATCCCCTGAATGCCATTGCTAGAGTCCTGAAGCAGTGACCGTCTCTGCACACTCCACCTTCCATTCCACCCTAGCCTCTTCCTCACTACATTTCTCCCCTTCCCCTTCGTTTAATGCTTAACTTTTTCTGTTCATTATAAATGTTGTAAAACTGACATTTTCTCATAGTCCTCATGATTCCATTCTCTATAATCACTCATCGCTGAGTGCTCTCTAACTTTGCGTGTGCATGCGTGTTTGTGTGTGTGGGTGTGTGCCCTTGTTCCTTTTTAAAAGGGCCCTGGGGAGGGTTATAGAACAGAGATCTAGGGGCACAGGTTCATAGCTCCTTGAAAGTGGAGTCACAGGTAGACAGGACAGTGAAGAAGGCTTTACGCATGCTTGCTTTCATCAGGCAGAGCACTGAACATAGGAATTGGGACATCTTGTTGCAGTTGCACAAAACTTGGTAGAGGCTACATTTGGAGTACTGCGTTCAGTTCTGGTCGCCCTACTATGGAAAAGATATTATTAAACTGGAAAGAGTTCGGAAACGATGCACTAGAATGCTACCTGGACCGGAAGGCTTGAGTTATAAGGAGAGGTTGGATAGGCTGGGACTTTTCTCCCTGGGCGTCAGAGACTGAGGGTGACCTTAAAGAGGTATATAAAATCACAAGAGGTGCAGATAAGGAAGATAGTGGACAGCTTTTCCCCATGTTAGGGGAGTCTGAAACTAGAGAGCATAGGCTTAAGGTGAGAGGGGAAGAAATACAAAAGTGTCCAGACAGCAATCTTTTCACACAGAGGGTGGTGAGTGTCTGGAACGGGCCACTAGAGGTAGTGGTGGAAGTGAGTACAATTTTGTTGTTTAAGAAACATTTAGACAGGTAAAATGGGACTAGTTTAAATTGTGAAAACTGGGCAACATGGACAAGGTGGGCCAAAGGGCCTGTTTTCCATCTATAACTCTATGACAAAAAGTTAAGATGTTATTTAACCTTAACATCTAGTCTTCTGAAAATGTTAGAATCTGCTCTAAAGGAACTAATAGCAGAGCATTTAGAATATGATTAAGCAGAGTCAGTATGGTTTTGTGAAGGGGAGATCATGCCTGACAAATTCATTAGAATACTTTGAAGAGGTAATAAGCAGGATAGATAAAGGAGAAGCAGTAGATGCAGTCTATTTGGATGCCCAAAAAGTGTTCGATAAGGGACCAAAAATTCATCTACTTATTAAGAGAACTACCCATGGTGTTGGAGGTAGTCAGAGTCAGTCATACAGCACGGAAACAGACCCTTCGGTCCAACCAATCCATGCCGACTATAAACCCAAACTAAACTAGTCCCACACCAGTCTGCTCCTGGCCCATATCCCTCCAAACCTTTCCTATTCACATAATTATCTAAATGTCTTTTAAATGTTGTAACTGAACCCACATCCACCATTTCCTCAGGAGGTTTATTACACACACGAACCACCCTCTGTGTAAAAAAATTTCCTCTCATGTCCTTTTTAAATCTCTCTCCGCTCACCTTAAAAATGTGCCCCCTAGTCTTGAAATCCTCCATCCTAGGGAAAAGACACCTACCACTAACCTATCTATAGCTCTCATCATTTTTATAAATTTCTATCAGGGCATCTCTCAACCTCCAAGTGAAAAAAGTCCCAGACTATCCAGCCTTTCTTTATAACTCAAACTTTCTATACCTGGCAACATCCCAGTAAATCTCTTCTGAACTTTCTTCTGATAATAGGGCGACCAGAACTGGACACAGTGCTCCAGAAGAGGCCTCACCAATGTCCTGTACAACCTCAATGCGATGTCCCCAACTCCTATACTCAAAAGGGTCTGAGCGATGAGGGCAAGCATGCCAAACGAATATGAACATGGACAGAGGACTGACCAGTAGAGACAGACAGCTGGGATAAGGGAGGCATTTTTAGGATGGCAACCTGTGGGGTTGCACAGCGATTGGTTAACTCAGTTGGCTGGACACCTGGTTAACAATACAGAGTGACGCCAACAGCCTGGGTTCAATTCCCATGGCAACCAAGGTTACCACGGAGTCTCCTTCTCAAACTCGCCCCTCGGGTGAGGCTCAGTTTAAGCCACCGCCAGTTGTCTCTCTCGTGAGGGAGAGCAGTCCCATGGTCTGGTTACGACTACGGCAACTTTACCTTTACTGGGATCGTAACCGGGGCCACAATTATTTGCAATATATGTCAATGATGGGTGAGGGAAGTGGTTTGAAGATGGGTGACACCAAAAAAAGATAGGCAGGAAGGCAAGCAGTGAGGTTAACGCAAGGAGTCTGCAGAGGGATATAAACAGGATCAGCAAATGGGCAAAAGGTTGGATAGACATGGGCTGTGGTCATGACTCCTGTGGTCTTGGGAAGAGCAGCTGTCACACCACGCTGCAATGCATCCAGATGCTTTCACGTTGCAGACATGCCGAATTTCATCAGCCTACTGATTAAGGTCTTGGTCAATACTGTGTGGAGCTGGAGGAATGCAGCGTCAGAGGTGCAGGAAAGTCGACGTTTCAGGTTTACACCCTTCATCAGGACTGGGGGGCGGTGGAGGGGGTGAGGAGATAGTTCCCCGCTGTGTTCCTCCAGCTCCACACAGTACTGACTCTGCCTCCAGCATCTGCAGTTCTTGCTATCTCCCAAGGTCTTGGCGAGGCCACAGCCTGGGATATTGTGTTCGGTTTGGGTCCCCTTATCTGTGGAAGAATATTTTGGACATGGAGGGATTGCAAAGAAGGTTTAGCAGACTGGTGTACGATGAGTGACTGGATCAGGTAGGCGTATATCAACTGGAGTTTAGAAGAATGAGGGTGAGATCATAGAATTTTATAGATGTCTACCAGGGCTAGGCACTGTAAAGGCAGGAAATATGTTCCCAATGACCATTTGCACAGTAGGGTGGGAGCTGTCACAGTCTCAGGGAATGGGGTAGGCCATTTCAGACTGAGAGGGGGAGAAGTGTCTTCACCCAGAAAGTGGGCAGCGATTCTCTGCCACAGGAAACAGTTGGGGCCAAAACATTGTATTTTTTTTTCAAGAAGGGGTTAGGTATAGCCCTGAGGGGGGACCAAAGAGTATGGGGAAGAAAGCGGGAACAGTGGCAGCAATTTGGACTAGAAGCTCAGGGTTCGTGCCCCATGCCAGGACGCGTGCGCGCAATGGAAGGCAGCTCATGTGCCCTTCGGATGGCACTGCCAGCCTCTGAATCCTCCTGGCGGCAGGCAGCAGGCGAGTTTCTTGGGCAGCCATCCTGCAGAAGGTAACCGCAGCGTTTCGCACCTAATCCACGGCTCGGAAGCGAGGGCGGGAGAACACAAGGCGTTCCAAAATCAGAGATGCGTCGTGGGTCTGCACTTTGTGTAGCTGCCTGCTCTCTCCCTCTCTTTCCCGTTCCTGACATCTGCTTCTCTACAATCTACAGCCAGCAGCTCCACCATCACTCCATCCAAACAAATCACGCCTTTCAAACTGGGACAGCCCTGGAACGGGTTGATAGACTTGTGAAGTATTCTACGACAACACATACCCCTTTGTTATTGCTACTGTAATATAATGACTTTCAAAAGACAGCTGCCTCTGCTCGATATTTGTTGCTGCTATGTTGCAAACACATGGGTTAACTTGAGCATGGGGTTTACCAAACCCTCCTCTATGCTGTGCAGCCCAAACCTTTCTCTCTGCAGAGTTTACTTTTCTCTCCTCATTCACTTGCTCCTACTCCCAAGCCATCATTTACTTGCATGTTCCTGCCCCCAATGTTTCTCCTAATTACTGCTGAACATTCCTGCCATCAGTTCGCTGACAACTGCACAACATTTGACACATTCACCACTCTTCAGATACTGAAGCCGACTATATTCAAACGCCACAAGACGGGGATAATATCCAGGCTTGGGCTGACAAATGACGAGTAACATACATGTCATACCAATGGCAGGAAATAGCCGTCTCCAACAAGAGACAATTCAACAATAACTCCTTGGCATTCCACGGCATTACCATCACTGAATCCCTCATTATCAACATCATGGAGATCGCCATTGACTTGAAAGAGAACTGAACTAGGTTTACAAGTTCTGTGACCCAGCCAGTGACATCCACGTCCCATTAGTTAATAAAACAAAAGATCAAGTCAGCATCTAGGAATTCTGAGGTAACTTCCCTCCTGACTTCTCCCTGCTCAAAGCCTGTCCCACCATCGACAAGGCACAAGTCAGGAGTGCGAGGGAACATTTGCCTGGATGAGTGCAGCGCCAACAACACTCAAGAAGCTGGACACCATCCAGGACAAAGCAGCCCGCTTGATTGGCACCACATCCACAAGCATCCACTCCCTCCATTACCGACGCTCAGTAGCAGCAGTGTGTACTATCTACAAGATGCACTGCAGAAATTCACCAGAGATTCTTAGACAACATCCTCTAACCTACGGTCACTTCTATCTCAAAGGGCAAGGGGCAGCAGATACATGGGAACACCACCACCTTCAACATCCCTTACAAGCCATTCACCATCCTGGCTCAGAAATATATCACTGTTCTTTCAGTGTTGCTGGGTACAAATCCTGGAATTCTCTTCTTAAGGGCATTGTGGGTCTACCCACAGCACATGGACTGCAGCGGTTCAATAAGACAGCTCACCCCCACTTTCTCGAGGGGCAAGCGAGACGAGAAATAAAAGAAGAAGAAACAAACAAAAAAATCTCTCATTGAACGACGGAGTCGAAATCAATCCTGGAAAATGAATACAACTGGACAGCCCAGAGTCTTGGGCATTTGGAAATGTGGCAAATGAAACTTGCAAACCGTGCAGGGAGTGTTCTGTCCAGTTTTATTACATTCGTTTCTGGCGTATACTTTATATATTAAATTCTCCGCCCTCCCCACTTGCTGCCTGCCCCTCTCTCTGTTCACACTCCGAGACAGTTGCACCCCTCCTAGGCATTATTCCAGAGTAGTGGGAGCGCCATGCAATCCTTTTTTTCCACCTTAGTGCTTGCCTCGCCCTTGCCCCATCCTCCTGTCGTCTGCAGTGAGAGATTCTACCCTCTCAGAGTGGAGGGGGAGGAGTGCGGAGGAGAGACAGAGAGGGTTACACCTTGCCATTTCCAAACGCACGGGCGCACCCACATCGCAGGGAGAGACCACTTCTCGGGGGATGGGGGAAACCCTTTGTTTGAGCAAGGGACAGAGAGAGAGAGAGACAGAGACAGAAGGGGAG